TTATCCTTGTCTAATATGAAATTTATTTGACGATCTGATTTTAGCATGACAGAAAAAAAAACAACAACAAGAAAATAACTTCAGTATGGGAAGTGCCTTTTCACTGAACTGCATAAACAGAGTTTCCTACAAGAAAAAAAGTTTGCTCTGAGAGTGGGAAGGCGGGGACATGCCACCGCAGACCTTTACTCTGATTCAGAAACGAAAAAGAAAAGAACAACATTTTGATTTGCTCTGGAGATTTTTGTTTGCTTCTTTGATGTATGTTTCGTTTTCAAATCAGACAAACTCCAAGCCGGCGCGGGGAGGGATCTCCAAACGACGAGCAAACATTGGCCAAATTATGGCTTTGTCGGAGTGATAGTAAATGCAAGCAGAGCGGAAAGAAACTGCAAAGATAGATTGTGATTTACTTATAAAAGCCGCAGTCCTCTCATTCCGTCCGGAGCGGTGCCAGTTATGGTGCAGAAACCCCCCCAAAAAACAAAGACAGACAATGATTTGAAACCCGCCGAGCCTTCCAAGACGAAATTATCTCCGCATACTCACGATTTATGAATTTGTTCTTGGTTTTGAAAGCAATTGAGAGAAATTAAACTGTTTCCCCTATGTACCCCGGTAATCAGCTTAAGTGATTACATCGGTTGTAAATATGAGATGATGAAAGCTCAGTGTGCAGAGTGTGTGGTGCCCCCGAGGAAAAGGCTAAATGGGAGTTCACGGGGCGGATGTGATGGACAATATAACTGGGTCTGCATCCGACGCGAGAGGGGAAGGGGGCCTTCTGTGGGGATTGGTTGCCCTCTAGCTGTCAACGCCGAGACTGGGTTTCGGTGAAGGGTGATTCCTTCTGAGGTGAGTTTATGAAGTGACATCGGTTAATTTTATTGTGTATTTTTGTTCCGCCGGAGCCCGACCCGAGGCTTGATTTACGACGACGACGAGGCTGTTGAGGGAGGAATATAATTGGAAGAAATCAGCCTCTGCTGAGGATGTGTTGGCTCATAAAAGTCACAACTCGTCGACTGAGTGCAGGAAGAAACGAGTATAAATCTCTGAGGGAAGAGTTTAGCACAAGCAGAGAAACAAAAAAAAAAAATAAAATACATGAAAAAAGACAGCGGAGGAAAGACTGCAGACAAAGAACCGGATGAAGCCTGGAAAGAAAAATGCAGTTTAGACGAGAAACCTGAAAACCATGTTTGGCCTGAAGACCCTCTCCAACCCCCCCGGTCCCCTGTACTTTGAACTACGTACTAATCCTTCAATGTACACTTGCAGAGACTTTAATTGGTTGGCTGGTAAGTTGTTTCAAACATCTTAAAGAACTAACCACAGATCTTTAGTTGATGTAGGTTTCCTCAGATTCTTCCGCGTCCTCCTGTAATCACAGACAGATGCAGTGATGCTGAGATCAGGCCTCTGTGTGGGCCAAACCATCACTTCTAGGACTTGCTGTTCTTCTCTGCAAGCGAATATGGCTCTTATTGACGTCGGTGTAAATTTTCGATTCTTTTTTGTTTTTTTTCCCCCTTTTTGTTCCGCTGTTAATGGCGCTGCATGATGGATAAGAAATACCTGCCTGTATTTCTTGGTATTCTGGACCAAATCTCCAAATCCATTCTTGGAAATGCATCAGCGGACTAGTAGCGGACCGTCGCAGCCCGGCGGTCCTGGGTCCTTCAGTGAAAAACTGGCCCTGTGTGTCAAACAAACGTGTCACATTGTGATGCACCTGTTAGCATTTTTTATTTATCCCAACTCTTCTGTTTTTTTGCGTCTAAAATAGACCTTGCGCCGTTTTTATATCAGAAGTTTTGTTTTCCTCAGAACCACACTTGGGCTCGGACTTGTCCAGACGTTGGATGGTTGTCCCAGAATCCCAGTCCTTTTTGCCAGTCCAGAGCTGATGAAAATGCAGGCCGTTTGATAAGACTGCAGTGTTTACCAGCCTCAGTGTTGCCCATTTCTGGCTTGAACCGCACATCCTGAGACCCGACTACTTAGAAAACTTCATCCACCTAATGAACTGCCTCGCATCTGGTTTTTATGCTGAATCTTCCTGTTATATCTGCTGCAAGACTCGTTTTCTCTCACAGCCGGAACGAACCGCAGACAGTCACCATAACAAATTTTGCTAGACGATAAATTGGCCCCAGAAGTTTTCGCGATAAATAATATCGCTGTTTTGAGACCATTTTCAAGTAATATGGTTGCGATGGCATAATATTGCAAGAACATTGTTATTTCTAATGAGCATTTCACACTGGAACTGGAAGACATTTTAAATATCCAAAATAAGTTGGTGACAAATAACAGAAATCATAAACTCTTTGTAAACAAAACCTGGTGACTGGAAAACCTGCCTGTTCCAGTCACCAACTCATTCCCCCCGTGCGCCTTGAGTTCAAACGTTTCTTCCAGTCTCAATGTGCATTTTCCCATTCACAAAGAATCTGAGGGAAACTACTTCGCTCGTATGTCCAGGCATTTCCCGTAAACACGGGCTTTCTCGCTTCTTAACGGCGTCTTGCGCACAAAGAACGGCCCGCGAGGGCTTGGAGGGAGTCTAATGCCGCACCATCAAGTGTAATTCATGTCGAGCTGAAAAAAACAAACATGTTTATCTGGCACCTAGCAATGCTGCTTTTGGCTGAAAATGACCTCTGCAGAGCAATTAGAAACATGAACATATACACCAGAATGCCTTTGAGCTTTGGATTGGCTACAATAAACATTATTGTACAGTAATTCACACAGAAAAATCTAAAGTGGAATCAGCAAGTGTACAAAGTTCCCTGATAACATTTTTGTTTAAATTTAAGGGCATGAGAGTGAGATGGAAAAGATAGAATTCAAAGGCCAGTTTTTTTCTCGAGAACTGCGTGCGGGAAGCTACACTGCTACAGTATAGATGAACGAAAAGCAACAAGAAAAAGAAGAAGAGGGAAAAAAAGAAAAACAAGATTGACGAGATTGGGTTAATTACAGGAAATAGCTCGGAGACCCTACTCGCGAAGCAGTATCTCGCTTTCTCATGTGCATCGGTTTAAAGAGTGAATATTTTTTTTAAAATGTACCTCACAGCGCGGTGCGGACAATGAGAAACAGGTCTAATGTCGGAGCGGGGAAGCCACGGGGGCCCGGCATGTAAGGAGGCAATTAGCCATAATGCCACATTTCACACACCGTTACCTACATTCTGTGTGAGAAAAATCGAAGCCCGAACAAGTGCACTAATAGGACCCGGCATTGGGGCTTGCATGCAAGAACTGCAGTTCCTCCAGCGCTTTCCCGCTCTTCACCCCGTCAACGAACCATAGCGCGGCTTGTTCTGCCGCGTTCCAGATCCAGATACCGTCTCATCATCCAAGCCTCGCGCCGCCTTCCCCATGCCATTTAGAGATTTTTCTCCCTCAAATTCCCTCACAGTGGCCCCCCGACAACCCCCCCCCCCCCCCCATTTACACGTACATCTCACACTTTCTCTCACACACACACACACACACCTCGTTATCTTATTTGTGGCCTTGGCAGCCAAATTGTTGCCTTGTGGTTCGGTAGCCAACGTTTTCACCGTCCCAGAGAGAGCAGTGGGTGCGCAGCCTCCAACACGCAAGCAGAATTTTTCCCAGGGTGCTTTGCCCTTTTCGGTGAAACCTGGGACGGATTACCCTTGGGCAGGGGGACCTTTCCAAAAGTTTGAAAAGGAGTTATGCAACACCCCACACTTAAATCTTCCCTGTCTGTTCTCGTAGCATCCAAATGTGTCGGGGTAACTAGACGTTTCTCTGAAACTGAAACGCACCCTTGAGAAGTGAGGCGAGCCGAGCCCCAGTGCTGACAGGATGACGCATCGTCAAATTGGTGGTAGCTCCCTGGAAGCCCAATGTCAGTCTAACTGGTTTGAATTTTAATTATTAATGTTTCACTAATTGAGGCCTATTCTTTTACACTTCTCCATAGATCTACAAAACAGAGACAAACACCTGAATAGCTTAAATTAAAGAAAAGAAAAGAAAACTGTTTCTCTCTCACATTTGTAGACAATCTGTGTAGAGTCATTTAAGAAAGCTTCAACGTCCTCAAATGCAAACATAGACATTTGGGTGGGTTGCAGGCACAGTGTCAAACTGAATATCTGGCAATCCCAGTCACCAAAGGATGTGTCCATAAACATTCATTTTCAGCAGCAGTTCCAGTATCAATGTGTACATTGTGTAGCAACTGGATAACTTACAGGTTCACTGAACCACTGTGTTGTCCTTGCTAATAGTTTCCTTTGTATTTCAGTTGTGCTAAAAGTTTTAATAGTGAAACCTCCATTTATTGAAATCCTCTTTCTGTGGTTTATGCATCTCCCCAACAATTTTGATTGTCTTTCTTACCCTTGCAGAAGTAGCACATTTCCACTACTCTCATGTTTAGCTTTTGGGAATTCAGTGAATGCAGCACCCAAGCATCTATTTCATCTGACCTGAGCACGTTTTCCAGTTTGTGTCATTTGTGAACTGAAAGCAAGGTTTCTCACTGCTTTCGTTCAACGGTCGGCCCAACAGAACCAATCATCTCACACAGAATTTAAATTGAACAACAGCGTTCTCTACTTGCTAACCAGGAATCTTCTGAATGCACTGATAGCTTTGGATTTTATTTTAAGATATTATGATAAAACGGGCTAAAGTCCACCATTTTCACATTTTTATTTATTAAACAATGTGTTGAACAATTTTACAGTCAGGCATCTATGAGGAATTTGTGTTTTTAGTTATTTTTGTGACAGACATGGTTTTAAACTGGAAAAAAACGTTTTTTTATGAGTGTTTTTATTTTCACCGTTTTTCTTATTTTTATGTATGAATACGATTTTATCAATGTACTTTTTCATGTTAGTCTGTCACATAAATCCTGCAGGCAAACAAATCAGACTGTGTTGCAATGAAGAATCACATTAAAAATTGAATTAATCTTTTCTTCTCCTGTGTGTGTGTGTTATGCAGGTAATTCAGGGAAGCACCGATCCAAAGAGCCAAAGAAGAAGAACAAGCAGAGGCTGCGGTTTCGGGCCCAGAACCAGCACAGCGACCACTTGGCCTCTGTGCGCTCCAGCCAGTAAGGACTGAAACCTCCCAGTGAACACAGAAACCAACGCAAAGCTGCTAGCCGCCGCTGCACCGTACTCTGACTGACAACTTTCACCCACCACACCCCGTCCCGCTGCCCTCCTCCCCACTCGCCTCCCATTCCTCCTTCTCTCCGCCCACCAGGACGCAAACACCGCCCCCACCCCACCGACGACCCCCACAGATATCTGTACCTGCGCACGCTCTGCTTCCACCCCGCCCGCCCGACCCCGCCGCCCCTCCCGTTGCTGCGACCGGCTGAGGTGACTCTATTTTCTCCCAGCGCCATTCCCCCTTTCTTCGCCTTGTGGACCTTCACAGTTGACAGAACTGAACTCACTCCCCGTCATTAACGAGCGACGCGGACCGCACGGGGGGGCGATGGAAGACGGAGGAGAACTCGGAGGGCGGGAGAGCCAGAGGGGCGGCAGGAAAAAGAGGAGGACGGAGTCAGGGGAGTTGGCGAGCTGGACTGCACCAGAGGGAAGGGATGTGACAAAAATCCATCCAGGACGAAGACGCAGAGAAGGTTCGGTTGAAGCAAATGATGCTAATGGACTGAAGAAGAAGAAGATAAAGAAGAAGAAGAAGAAGAAAAAAAGGCATCTTGAAACAAAAGAGACTGGTTGTTTTTTTTTTTTGTTCATATATTTATGTCAAAGCTACCCCTCTCCTTCCTTCCCTCTAAATGGAAACAGAGTTTTCCCATGTGTGGCCTTTTATGTTATGTATATTTTCCAGAGTAATATTAAGAAGAAGAAGAAAAAAAACTCCAATGCATAGTTGCGAAATATTTTATTCTCAGCACAAACTGTTTACGTTCAGACCGCTTAATGCTGTATCTGTATAGTGTCAGTTCATTAAAGAAAAGAAGATTTAGTTGTTCAACTAGCATGGCAACAGACTTGTACATAGTTGATCTAATTATAAAAGCCTATTACTGTATTTTCAGTATTGAGTCAGTCACCATTCTAAATGTTTTAGAAATAATAATAATAATAATAATAAAAAAATGGTTGTAATACAAGCTACAGATTAAAATAATAAAAAACATAATAAACTTAGCCACCTCATAGCAATTTCATTCATATGGTATATATTTGATTTATTTATTAATTCAGTTTTGTACTTTTTTTTTCTTTTTTCTTTTTGTTCAGTGAGAAATTTTGCCTCACGCTGTCGGTGTTTTTCTGAGATATCCTCTCCTTATATCGGTGCATATCTCTGTCATGCAAGTGTTGTAGGCTGTTCGTTTGACCTCATCTACTGATTTTGATGCTTCATAAAAGGAGAAAAAAATGAAACTATGCTTTGATGTATTCTAGGTTTAATAATTAGGCTCCAGCTAATGTATGGTCATAGGACTGCATATGTGTACGTTGTGTTTTATTAAAACTGCATTTCATGTGACTGTATGAGAAGGCCTTTCATTACTGTCCCTGGCTATAATATATGTGGCTAAAACTCCGAAGCTGTCGTGTTCTTGTCTCACTTCTGATTGCAGTTAGCGTGAAGGAAAACAAGACTGAACTTTAAATATATATATATGTAAACTAAATATATTCCTAATGGGCAACTGAGGTAATCTGAGGCAAGAAATTTGTTAAAATTAATCCATAACGGACATGGACAGACCTGGGAAATAAGTATTGAACACATTAAGACCACAAGGTGCAATCCAGAAGCCGTGTTTTTATTGACTATATAATTGCGCGATTTGAAATTTTGAAAATGAATTCAATGAAAACCTCATCAATGTTTTGCTAAGAAGATTTGTCCTTGTGCCAAACAGTTCTTTGGACATTTTTCGAAATAATTGGTTTGTTTCGCAAACCAATCAGGTCACCTGATCAACAACCGGATGGTTGCGCTTGGCGCAAACCACGAAGAAGAAGAAGACGACAGGAAGTAGTTGGAGGATGACGGCGCAGCATGTTTTCACCATGTGTGATTTTAATTGCGTTATGCACTTTGTGGGAAATACTGCAATTGTGACAGTGTAATTTTTCAACGTTAAGTGAATACTGGCAAAATTTTGCACTAATTTGTTATGTAAAGCCAGCTAAAGTCAAGGAAGTAATTGAGATTTACCAGTATATAGAAAGTTGCCATTGTTCCTGTCAGAGATAATAAATGCCAGATGATTTGGTTCTAAGTGATGACCCAGAAAAAGGTTTCTCATTACCAGAACCACCTCAAGACTTTTGCAGACTTTTACTGCAGAGCTGATGAACATCATTAGTTATATACATTATATTGGCAAGAGGTTTCAGTCTCTTGCCTTTACGCATATGAACTTTACTGAATATTTATTTTGGGTTTGGGCCACCCCTTCCTGCTACGATGGGAATACCTCTCTAGGTTTAGGAGTGGAATATTAATATTTCATGGTTCGTCTCTGGAGTCAAGCACTGAATTTGGGTGAGACCGCCTGCTTCAAATCCATCCCAGAGAGATTCTATCAGGCTCACATCAGTGAAGGTCCTGTATGCTAACCTTGTTTATAGGATTTAAGGCAACATGCATTGTCATGCTGGAACTATAGAAACCATCCCTGAACAGTTCCCATGGACTAAGACTCATACAATTGCTCCAGACATGTTGATATAAACATTATGAGTTCCTTTTACTAGAACCAAGGGCCCAATCTCAACTCAAAACCAGCCTCACACCATAATCCTGTCTGCTCCGGACTTTAAACTCCATACAAGCGAGACGTGGAAGCAGTGTTTCCCTGGCAACTGCCAAACCCAGACTCGTCCATTGGATGACCAAGCATGATTTGTCTCTTCAGAAAACAATCTGAAGAAACTGATTGTCCAATCCATCAATTGGACAATCAATAGAGGTCGCCGACTTCAATTGCAGACTTCTGCAATTGAAGTCTGCAATTGACTTCAGTGGCTCCTATCAGTGCATCCTATCAGTGGTTCCTGATACTGAGTTATTCCTTCACAGATGTCTAACAAAGCAGTCTGTTTACCTTGGGGCTTGATTTTATATACACAAGATCATAGATATGACTCGACCACCTAAATTTAACAATTTGGTTCAGTGAGACAAAACTTTTGGCAGCATGGCATAACTACTTCTAAACTTCTGAGTGTTCCTGTGAAGACTATTGGGGACATAATTGATTTCATTTATTCAAGCAGGTAAACCCTGTTGAGATCTGGATCTCATTTTTAAGAGGGACCAGGGCAGTAGTCTGCAATACAGAACAACCCGGTTACAAAATGATGTAGGACATCACGTTACCACAAACAATCTACCATCAGCCGCTCCTCACAGGGTGTCCAACAGGAACGAGAAGATCTGTCCCTGAGCCAACGCATAGTTTCAGAGAGAGATGTTTCAAACATCACTAAGTGCCTCCTCTTCAGAAGACAAAAGTAAAAGTTGATTTGAGTCTTTTTTGAACACTATATCATACTGACAAGGCAGGGAAGTGTGGGGCTGTTTTCCAGGTGATGATAGAAAAATAAATGGAGAAAAGTACCAGGAGCTTCTTAAGAAGAACCTCAAACAAAGGACAGATGTTTCAGCAAGTCAATGATTCCCAACAAGTAAAATCCTTTCTGGTTTCAAAAGAAGAAAATAAAGCTGCTAGAACAGCCCAGTCAGCCAGGCTGAAAATCAAAGAGAACATCTGAATATTGGACTGAATGCATAGAGGCTCCCAGAACCTTCAGGGTGCAAGGGATGGTGTGGCGTGATGGGGCAAGATCACGTATAGATTCACTAAACAGGAAAACTGCTGAACTGTTACGGTAATATCGTTGATACTTTTCCTCTCCCGGTGCTGTTTCCTCACAAATATAACTGCATTTCAGGAACTGTTTCATGTCAGCCCTTTGCATGTGTCAATGAAACCAACACGAGAAAGTGTTGACGTGTTCAGTACTTGTTTTCCATGCTGTACTTGAAATGAAATAGCATTTGGGAAAGCCATTATGTTGCGCTACATGACACAGTTTCTGCCTCCTAAGCCAGAGGATTGGACACGGTCGACTGGGCCCTGACAGCGTGATGGCATCGTTAACGGTGACGTACTCTCGTGGAACCAGCGCCTGCCGTTGGTCGCTCATCCATCTCAGCTATTGTGTAATGCCCCGACAAGCACGTGGGTGTGGAACTTGTCTTTTATCGTGCAACACCCAATCAATCATGCTCTTATTAGAAGCACACTTATTCATTTTTTGTGTGTAATACACTCTTTGCTAAATCTATCTGGTTTCGGGGGCAAGGGGAAAATGCTTTACTGCAAGCTATGGCTAATTTAACCCAAGAGCCATACTGTATAATCAAAAAGGAGGGAAAAAATCAGTATTAACCAGACAGCTTATAGATGCACAGTAGCAGATGGGTTATGTCGTGTCACACGCTTTCCCTGGGAAGATCAGACGTAGCTCCCTCCGCTTCGGTTCAGCCCCCCGCACCCTGCCGCAAACCCCTTTACATCACATATGAAATTTCCGTAGGACACATGTCAGTCTGGAAATCTCCCATGTCCATTTAGAGCGCTAACATTTTTCACAGGTGGCTTGGCTACTCATTTGTAGAAGTTCACAATTTAACCGAGAGACGTTATGGCAACAGAGCTAAAAACCCGACAAACTGAAATCCCAGAGTGAACTCGGACCACAGTGCTCTGCCAAAAAATACTAATTTTATTTACAACTGAAGCATAAAGGACTCGTCTCTCAAGAATTAAATATTTCTCAACACACACAGTCGTTTTAGGCCATACGAAGCGGAGGAATGTCCCTTGGAGCACATTGGGCGGAATAACCAGCGAATTATGCGTAACGCGACAAATACGAAACACATTTACCGGGGAAGGTTGGAATTTTGTGATGCAAGAAAATACAACGGAAGATGCAAATCGGAAAGCAGTCGCCCCCGAAACTAAACAAATGGCATCTGGTCAGCAACATTATTGTTGTGCACCGCTTTCCTGGTTTGTGTTAACGAGCACGAAGCCCATCGAGACGAGCAAAACACACTGTTGGTCAGAGAAGGACGCAAGAAATCCTGGCACAGAGATCCACATGTCCAGTTGGAGATTGCCGTATGTTGACAAATATTAGTATTGAAATTCACAAATCGGACCTTTATGTGCTCCCAACTATTTGCCGTTGAATCTTCTGACCTTTTTTGAGGCTCTTCTGTGTGACGCAATTCCAACTCATTGGTAGAGAATTTGCAGAGGACTGTTCATACATTGTCTTCATAAATCGTATCTAAAATATTCAAAACAAAATACAGCTTCATATATATCGAGGCATAATGGTACTTGAGATGCTATTATGTCTGCCATTGGCTGGTATTTGAAAAGCGATCAATCCTTGAGCATTAATTGGCTGAATCCCCAAAAGGAGAAACAATGATTAGCATCAAGGTTAGCTTCTGCTAATATGAATTCCACTGTCCATATTAATGCATATTAAGGTACATTTGGTGTTTGAACCATTGAATTAGGCAGTCGCACGTGATTTTAAAGTGGGTTTGGGTTTTCATTAATTTTAGCTATTTGCATGTGGTTGGGTTGCCTAAAGCCAACGAAGGCCAGAGTTCACTGTAATAGTGGCAAAAGAAAGCCATAAGAATTCAATTCAACTCGATACAAGTTTATTTATTCAAGTATAGCACAGGAACTCAGGTTACATGATAAAAACAAGCAACAGTTGTTAACTAGCCATAGGCTGACTTACAAACACAGACCCTGGTTGGACATTAAAAGAAGCAAAAATTAGAAATTAGAAAGCGAGGTGCACCCACACACACACACACACACACACACACACATGTTGAACTACTGGAACTATTAACTGTCAGGTTCTGGATTGTTTTAAGCTGTTTTGGGATTTGATTTATTGAGTCTAGTTTCATTATTATTATTCTGTGTTCTTTAGTCTTTTTCTTGGATTAGATCAGCCTGTTTCTGTTTTACCTTAGTTCGGTTCTTCTTAGTGACCTTCTTGTCTCTAGATGCTCTTAGATACACATCATGATGTTAACTGCAAATAAATGAAAACTCATATTAGAGAAAATACCTTGTGCACACACTATGTGGCATCATCTCCATGGTTACAACAAGGTAGGGGCAGAATCATGCTGTGTGGAGTCTTTTCCTTTGATCAATGGTTAGTGGTCACGTCTGTAATCCGATTCAGCCTCCAAAGCGTAGAAGGCGGCTGAGAGGCGCAGATGTTCACAAAACTCAGATTTAAGCCAACAGGTGAACAAACCTTAAATTTCCAACGTTCATTATTCCCGCAACATTCCAAAGCCGGATTTACAAGCGCAATTCTGGCTGAAACTAGAGGCCATAAAAAAAGAAGAAGAAAAAAATCACAAATTTGGCAAAACGAGTCAAAGAAACCAGCCCCGAGCTGCCCGTTTAGTTC